GGGGTAAATCGCGGGTTATGCCTCAACCAGATCACAGGTTTCCCACACCGCCTGTACACTTCTGTGCGCATAAGAGATCCTCCTCCAAAGTGATTGCTCCATACCAAATATACCATTGATTTCTTTTTAGGTCATAAGTATGCACGAGGACATATTTGTCAAGTGGGCATTCATCACAATGATTACAGACAAGCAAGATAATGATTATTGCCATACATGTAATGCATGGGTTTTAAGATTCAAGGACAATTTACAGACCCGCGACATTATTAACGATGTCTGTTAAGAGTTCAGGGTGGTCATGAGCCACTAGAAGGCCTAAGAGGCTAAAGAATGTACATTAGAAAATTTATGAATTCACTCAATAAGAGTTATGTTCAACTGGCCAGGCATTGCCATGATAGGGGAAAAACTAATCATGACTCGATATTATTTATTGAGATTGATAACGATAACTGTTTCAAGTATTTCTTCATGACTTTGGACAACGCATTCAAGAATTTCTTTATTCAATTCAATCCCTAATTCCAGTCGACAGACATCTTTGAAAACTAGATATGAAGGCAAGTAGATTATTGTTATATGTCAAGATACAAATATATAAAATTTTCCTTTTAAGTTTAACTTAGTTGATAGTGAAAATGATCTCGCAATATATTGGTTCTTCCCAAAGTTAAGGTAAGTAATTGTGGACGTCGAAAATCTTGTCTTTGTAATTGATTGAGGAAACGATATAACAAAAAATATCGTTGAAATTTTTTATGATGGTTATCATGATTACTATATGTACTACATACAAGGCAACCTAAATGTACATCACAAATTACAGAATTTCTTAAGAACAAATGATGTTGCAACCGAATTTTATGTAAAAAAATGTAAATGATAATGTAACATTATTCTTTTTTCTTTTTTTTTTCTCCCCTTTTTTTATTTAATTGGTGAGGTTTTGATTCAATCAAATTCGCTACAAAACCTTGTAACCTATGTTTGGCCCCTATTTTTTTAAAAACTTATTTTTTAAAATTTCATTTACAACCATATATTTTTTAATAAAATAATATTACACGTAAATTGAAAAATTTTCTTAATTTTTAAATATATATTATTAAAAAAAAACACTACTCTAATACTCATTTTCCCCCAAATTTGAATTTGAGTAAAGTTATTTGCATAGTGATTGTGGACAATTTCTGTGTTGTCAAGAATTTTTTTAGTTTATTTAAAAAATAATTTTGAAATGAATTATGTAAATTTTGACAACTTATGATTATCAACAAAAGTTGAGGTAGTACTCCTAGGATTATTTTTTAATTTTTAATTTTATTAAAATGGAGCGAAGTGCAGACTTCACAATAACTGTCTCTCTGTCTCTCTCTCTCCATTCCAATTAGAAATCGATTATACACAAAAACCCCAAAGAAAAAAGAAAAGGTAAAGAACTCCGAGATGAATCTGAATATGAACTCAGTGGAAACGCTGGTTGCTCAAATTCATGGGTTATCGGGCAGCATATCGGATATTAATCAACTCCACAGCCTCTTGAAACAGTCCGAGGATTTATTCCAGTCCGAGTCGACCCGCCTCGCTCCTCTACTCACTGAACTCGATCCGTTCATGCACTCCCTCGGTTACCTTTACATTCTGTATATTCCTATTTTAGTCTCGCGCATTATTTTCTTGATGTCAATAATGTTTTATATTTTCAATTTAGGGATTTGTGTGCAATGGAAAATTCTTGTTATTTGCTTTTGGTAATTTATTTAAACTTATTTTTTGAATCGCACGGCACTGTTCTTATGGGGATGATTCAACTTCTCAATGTTTGGAGTGCTATGGTTTTTGTACAAATGATTGTGAACGTAGCATGTTCGTTTGTATTCTGATGTTTTAATAGGCTATGGCTGAGATTTATGTTGTCAAATTTTGTCACATTAAAATGTTTGCTTTCAATTTCCGCATCCAATTGGGAGTAGGGAGATCACCCCTCGAATGATTGATTTAACCATTAAAAGCAATTTATGCAAAGGATTCTCTTTAACAGAATATACTTGGTACAGAGCCTATAAAGGGGTAGTGGATACTGCTATACAAACATCCAATGCTGGATATCTCACACACATGCTTGTTGACGTAGTTCAATACATTATTGTATTTTAGAGTGATTGTGGCACCATCCGGGTACTTCTGTCTGTCCTCGGAATGAGATGATGGCAGAAAGGATTTTTATCCAAACGTGCGAAAATCTCGTTGTAGTTTGGTGACCTATCTTCAGTAGGGGCCTTTTGTCTTTTGATTAGAGTAGTCGTGGGAGAGCATAGCGCCACAGTCACGAGCTCTTATATTGATGACTCTTGTCATATATAACAAGGTTGAGGAAAAACTTCGAATTGGGAGGGTGAACGACTCCATGAAATGGCTAATTTACTTCTCTGATTTGTGTTTTTCTTTTTCTATTTTTTTTATAATATAACACTAGTACATCTATCTTAACAGCCAAATAGAATATTTTATCAATAGAAGGCAAAGAGCAATTCAGTGTTGGCAACAAATTAGGGAAACTTATACCAGGTTGTCTCTTCCATCACCACCATTCTTTCTGTTGGAAGAAAATCTAGAAATCTAGTGTGGCAGGCACCAACCCCTTAATTGACGGACATGTTATAGCCTGCCATTTTGAAGATTTTGGTATTTTCAATACTTTTCTGCTCGAACTCTACCATTTGAGTTTTGTAATAGTTGAATGAATTGATGTGAAGTTATATTCCTTAGTCTGTATTTTCTATTTGAGTAATGCTACTTGTACAAAATTGTGTACAATTTAATGTAGAAATTCATGATGTAGATTATATTAACTATCTTCCTTCTCTTTCATCTCTCTCTCTCTCTCTCTCTCTCTCTCTCTCATCAATTTGTACAAAAGTCTGCACACAATTATGTACAACTAACAATACTCTTTCTTTTTAATGTTTATTTTGGGAGGGAGAATAGGGGTGAGGTCAGGTTAAACCACTTATTTGTGCATGACATGAAATTTTCTGTACTTGGGAATTCTGTTCTCTGTTAGGCTTGGAACGATCTGGCACTCACCTATATGTCTTTAACAGGGACGCAAGCACATCTGCTCCAATTTCAAAAGAGCAAGCCAGTGAGCTAGTTCTTTCTATAGCCAGGTTTATCAATTTGTGTGCTGCTGAGCAAATACGTCTGGCACCTGATAAATGTAATAACATTCTCTGTAAAGTGCTGTATTTGATTTATATGGCTCTTGTCTACTGTTTTCACAATTTTGATGGTGATTGATTTGCAGTTACATCTGTTTGTAAAAGGTTTAAGGACCAAGTTATGCTGCTTGAAGACCCCATGCGAGGTGTTGCTCCAATGCTGACAGCTATTCGGAAGCTGCAATTGTCATCTGAACACCTAACAACTTTGCACCCAGATTTTCTTCTTCTTTGTTTGTTGGCAAAGTGCTATAAAACTGGTCTTTCCATTTTGGAGGATGACATATTTGACGTTGATCAACCTCGGGATTTTTTTCTCTACTGTTATTATGGGTGAGCTTTTTCGGCTTGGTTGAGTATTTACAAGTTTGTAAGACCCTTCAAATACTTTCTTATTCAATTCAAAATAAAATACTTCCCTGTTCTTATTTTATTGTTCACTTCATGTAGTTTCTTAACAGATTTAGTATTATGTTTGGGCACTTATTGTAATTGGAGATATTTGGTCAATTTTTTATTTTTTACTTTTAAATTCCAATGGTTCCAACTGTATGCTGACAAGTGCTGGCCCAAAGTGTTATTCTGGTATTGGGATATCTTGCTGCATTAGGCATATGGACTAGTTTGTTGAAGAATGGAACCGGGCATATGCCGTTTATGTCATATTCAGTATCTTTCACATCTCTGTACTTCAGTTAATGATGACTAGATTAGCTGCATGCTATGCAGTTTGTGAATTACCTAATATTTTGTGTTTAAATCATGTCGCATTTTTGAAGTCAAAATACCTGCCTTTAAATCCAACAACAATGCGACTAAAAGCTTTCACATGTTAGCGTTATCCCTTAAAATTTTCCGGATTTGAAATAGCTTAATTCCTTGAGCTTGCTGGCCTGAATAATTATGAAACTTACTGACTCATTTTAATGTTCGGCATCATCTAGGGCCATGATTTGCATAGGACAAAAGAAGTTTAGCAAAGCGCTGGAGTTGCTACACAATGTACGTAAATTTTTTTTCCTGGTAACTGATGCTAAATAACTCGACCTCTATCGGCTAATATCTCTGTTGATTTACCTATCTTACTACTTATGGATGTGCTCTTACTAAACAGTTTTAAAACCTTTGATCTTTCTGATTGCTGATACTTTCAGGTTGTGACTGCTCCTATGTCCATTTTGAATGCTATAGTCGTTGAAGCATACAAAAAATACATACTGGTTTCACTCATTCATGTCGGACAGGTTTGCTCTTTTGCCGTCTTTACCAAATACTGCTTTAAATGCATCTTGATGGAATTAACATTTCCCCAAAACTGGACCAATTAATTTGAATTGCTGGTTTTCATATTTGATGTTTATTGAGGAGGCAATTTTTTTATTTTTTTTTTATCTTTTTGATTGCCCTGTATTAGTAAGTTGCATGATCAAAGTTAGGATCTTATATCGCCTGAAGGATATATCTACTAGATGTTCACTGGTGCAAGACTATTGGTTTTGTCATAATAATCCTCCTTTTACCGTTTCACAAACTTCTACTTTTGATTTTTAGCTTATTACCTTCACTGAGAAAAGTGACAAGTTTATTGCTGTCATAACTGTTTACTCGAAAAAATAACGAGAACCTGTTTTACTTTTCTTGGCAGTTCTCTATCAGTTTCCCAAAGTACACTTCTTCTGTGGCTCAAAGAAATCTGAAAAACTTCTCACAGGTAATGTTTGGCAACTGTCGACAACTTTGAAGTAGCTTTTACTTGTGCGGGAATTCATTTTGGTGTGTATCTGTGCAACAAAAATTGATATATTTTTCATAGAAACTACGAACAAACAACAGCGTTAATTAATTTCCAAATAACTTGGCGTCTAGATATATCTGCCTTTTGCTGAATTTTCTGTGACATTTATGATGCATGATGTTCACTTGCTTATGATTAATCAAGATACCAATAACTTGGTGTTTAGGTATATCTGCCTTTTGCAGGATTTCCTGTGAAATTTATGCTGCAAAGTTGTTCACTTGCTTATGACTAATCAAGATAACTAATGGTTGGGAGACACATGCTTTAAATTATAAGACTGTGTACGGTTGTGAACTGGTGAGAAGTTAATTTCTTTTCAAGGTTAGTAAAATAAGTGCAATAAATTATCAGATCCGTTGTTTGAAAGCAAGATCATAACTTGACTTCTACTGTCATTGTATGAGCCTCCATTAAACACAATATTGTGGCCCCTCTTGATGGGAAGCATGAAATCTAAATTTTGGATAAGGAGGAAAGCCGGAGCCTGGAAACTATTATTTTTCTTTTCTAATGGCTGTAGATGATGCTGGTGCAGAAGCCATAGAACAAATATTTAAGAACTTAGAACTCTGTTTTGAATTGTAATGTAATAAAGGTGAGTAGACTCGGGACACGTGGACATATTTTACTGAATTACACTGGAGCCATAGTTGATGGGTGTAGATGATGCTGGATGCAGAAGCCATAGAAAAAGTAATTAAGAACTTAGAACTCTGTTTTAAATTGAAATGTGATAGAGGTGAGTAGACTTGGGACACGTGGACATGTTTTACTGAGTTACATGGTAAAAATCAGGGCACACATATATAGATGCATGAAATCTTTTTCTCATGAATTAATTTAGACTATATAGTACATTGTCTATCAAATACCATGAACGGTGAATTGCAGAGAGCATCAATATAATGATACTAATTATGAACTATTGATACAAAGGGGGCTCGAAGACCAAAGTTAAACACTTACTCCAATCTCAATACAATAATGGTGAGAACTAAGAAGCATTTAGCAACTGGCGTGGCACAAAGCCCAGATACTTGATTTGTTAGGGAGTAATCATCAATGAACAGAAGTATGTCACTCAAACTACTGTTCATAAATGTGAATTTTTTTGTGGGCCTGGAGTACATTTGAGTCTGCATTATATGCATTTTCCCTTTCCTTCTTTTGAGTCATTAATATACTTATTTCTTGTCTCTTGAGCAGCCGTATCTTGAATTGGCGAATAGTTATGGTGCTGGAAAAATATCAGAACTTGAGTTATGTGTGCAGGCACACAATGAGAAGTTTGAATTTGTAAGTTTTTTTTATTCACTTGCAATATCATGATGTAATTTAAGTCAATAGTTATAGGAGTGCTGAAATGAAGTTTTTATTTTCACTTGGAACTCCCACCAAGTTCCATGTCAAATATTTTGCCATCTGAAAGGGCTAAATGTTATCCCCTGTTTCAGGACAGGAATCTTGGATTGGTGAAGCAAGTAGTTTTGTGTATGTATAAACGCAATATTCAGAGGTTAACTCAGACTTACCTAACTCTCTCCCTCCAAGATATAGCCAATACCGTCCAACTAAATAGTGCAAAGGAAGCTGAGATGCATGTACTTCAAATGGTTGGTGCAGTGTTCGAATTTTTATAGCGGAGAAATGAATTGACCTGTGGTGGTGTTCTCTGACATAATGTTTCTATCTTGTTATAGATCCAAGATGGTGAAATATATGCAACAATCAACCAGAAGGATGGAATGGTTAGATTTCTAGAGGATCCTGAACAATA